TATATATATATATATATATAGATCTTGTAAACACAAGTAGATTGGAATTTTGTATTAGTTTCTTCGTAATAAAAGTGGTGTGAGTTTATGCAACTTACTTTTCTGTTATATACTTTCTATTAACTTTACAAAAGGCTTTGGAGCGAATGTAAAATTGGATATTCGTGAACTAAATCGAGGATTAGGTGTGGTTTCAATGCTTCCTATATAGCTTCACAGATGACAATTTCAAGAACTCTAGTACGGTACTTGAAAGAAATTGAAGCGCCGATTTAATTTTCAATGGGGTGTGGCTTTATCTGGTCAATGAAATGTATTGGAACATGAAAGTAGAAAGCCATAGCGATGGAAGCCAAATCAATTTTATTGGGGATGATTTTCTTTAAGATATATATTTTATTGGGAATGACAAGGTAGCTTCACGTGCTTACGTGCATATGGAGCTGGTTATAAGTGAGAACAAAAACAGGTCAACATACATTTTATCTCCCTATAAAGCCAACAATTAAGTTTAGGGACTGATTAGATCAATTCTGAAAACATTGTAGGGTTATAGTGACATTTTTTCTTAAATATAAAGAGAAAAAATTTATAGGGCTAGATTGATATTACATAAGAAATCAGAAGTTAAAAACTATGTGCAAAAACTCAAAAGTTTAGGGACAAAATTTGTAATTTACCTAAGAATATACTGAAAACTGAAACCTATGCCTCGTTACACTTGTTCGTGATCTTTGGATTACCGAATTGCTGAGTGAAATAACTAATATGGCAGAATATGAAGGAATCATATTGGGCATGGGAAACCCTCTTCTCGACATTTCAGCCATAGTTGACCAAGATTTCCTCACAAAGTACATATATCGCTCTACACCTGCAATTTTTTTGCTCAAATAACTTTAAAACAGCTTCTAATTTGATCTGTTTCGCAAGTAGGTGCGGTTTTTCATGTTGTTTCTTCCGATTTTCAATTCTAAAAATTTAGGGTTCTTCATTAAGAGACTATATATTTTAATCAAGCAGCTACACAGCTAAGATACGAAATTATGGAATTTTCGGTAGGTGAATCCAAATAAGATTGAAATCAACCTTATAAAACATCTCCAATTCTCACATAAACGCGATTGATGAAGATATGGACAATTCCAATGCATATGAATTCGATTCATCAACCTTGCTAATTGTCTGTTTCTCTGAAATTTCAGATATGGCCTGAATCCAAACAATGCTATCCTTGCCGAAGACAAGCACTTGCCTATGTAAGACGACGATTCTTATTATTAAGCATTTGACATTTTTCGTTGTATATTTTTATCTTATTGCATTGTAATTACTATATTTTGCTACTGTTTTTCAAAAACAGATGACTCCAGTATTTCATTATCCATTGTAAACTCTGCATTATTTGTTCAGATTTATGGTCTTACTCTGATTAATTCTTGTTAATTTCTTTCCAGGTATGATGAAATATGTTCAAAATACAACGTAGAGTACATTGCTGGAGGTGACTTCACACCTTTCAAGAAACCTACATCACATATTTCATATTTCAGATTTCATCTTTTAGATTTGTTATTGGATTAATTTCTAACATATCATTACAGGATCCACTCAGAATACCATCCGAGTTGCCCAGGTAAAGATACAATACCTTCAAATTTTCATCCCAATTATCTTATAAAAAAATAAAAAAATGCAACACTTTTTTTACCATTTTTCTTCTGGTATTCAGTGGATGCTTCAAATACCAGGTGCAACAAGTTTTATTGGTAGCATCGGAAAGGATAAGTATGGGGAGGAGATGAAAAAGAACTCAAAACTTTCTGGAGTTAATGTAACAACTAACAATCTTCTTCTTTTTGCATACACTTTAGAGTGTTTTGTATTTCTTTTTCCTCCATCAATGGCTGAATATAATGATGATGATGATGATGATGATGGTATCAGGTGCACTATTATGAAGATGAAGCTGCAACAACTGGTACTTGTGCTGTTTGTGTTGTTGGCAATGGAAGGTCTCTTGTTGCCAATTTGTCAGCAGCCAAATGCTATAAATTGGACCACTTAAAAAGACCAGAAATTTGGGCACTGGGTATTAAATCTTGACCTGAATTTTGACTTTTCCTTTTCATTATCAACAACATAACCAATTTGGATTTTGGAGACAGTTGAAAAGGCCAAATACATTTACATTGCTGGTTTTTTCCTCACTGTGTCACCTGAATCAGTTCAGCTTGTAGCTCAACATGCCACTGTAACCAACAAGGTAAAATCACCAAACACTCCTTTCAATCTCAATCTGAATTTTCTTTCTTTTTCATGTGCCATGTTTTTAATCTTTGTAGGTGTTTATAATGAACCTCTCTGCACCATTCATCTGTGAATTCTTCAAGGATGCTCAAGATAACGCATTACTGTTAGTCTAATCATTATCAGTCTTTTTTTTTTATTCATACTATTCGTCTTTATTGTATCTTTACAAAAAAAATAAAAAAAATTCAGGTATGTGGATTATGTTTTTGGAAATGAAACTGAAGCAAGAATGTTTTCAAAGATTCATGGATGGAATGTAAGTATTAAGTATATGATTTATTTAAAAACCTTAAGCTTGGATATATTATATATAATAATCTTTAAAATTGTTCTGTTTTCACTTTTCACTTTTCAGACAGATGATGTTGAAGAGATTGCTATTAAGATTTCCAAGTGGCGTAAAGCATCAGGAACTTACAAGAGGATTACTGTGATTACTCAAGGGGGCAATCCTGTCATTGTTGCTGAAGATGGAAGAATTGAAAAATATCCTGTGGAGTTGTTGCCTAAGGAGAAACTGGTTGATACAAATGGAGCAGGTTTGTCTTGTAGATTTAAGTATTTTGTCTGAATTATTTGTATGCAAGTGTTTTAAGATCATTTTTTAACATTATCAGGTGATGCATTTGTTGGGGGATTTTTGTCTCAATTGGTTCAGAAGAAACAGATAAAGGAATGTGTGAGAGCTGGTTGTTATGCATCCAATGTGATTATACAAAGATCAGGCTGCACATACCCACAAAAACCCAATTTTAGTTAAACTTTTGATCGCATTATTTAGTCTTTTAATGTGTAGAGTTTGCACATTTTCCATTAGAGTAATAAGATATGATGGTATTCTCTTGTTGAATGCTGATAGTGATAAGCTATTCAATCAATAATCACTTCTAACTCCTTCAATATATTCAATTCACTATACATTCTATTTTCTTAACTATTTAGATCATAACTCCATGTCACAAGTTTTGTACTATTTTCGAGTAATGTAATTTTTTTTTATATAGTTAAAGCAAGAAATCGGTTCCAATGTTGGAGAAAGACAACAGAACAAGCACCACATATCTCCGTAACTAAAGTTGAAACATTGAGGAAAGGGGGCAAATAAGACAATTCACATAATCCCAATTCCTAGAAAACCCTAATTCCATCTATCTCTCTACCTCCAAACATCGAGAAAACGCTAAGAACTAATAAAATCAGATCAAATCAAGATCGATGTTGGTACCAGAAGCAGTAGCATAACCTTGAAGAGCATCACCAGTGAGCCTACAAACCCTCCATTCCTGCATAACAGTAGCTCCCATTTCCTCGTAGAACTTTATCGCATTCATATTCCAATCCAGCACAACCCACTCCACCCTCCCGTACCCCATCGCCACAGCTTGTCTAGCCACCGCCGACAACAGCATCTTCCCCAACCCCTTCCTCCGATAACTCTCCCTCACAAACAGATCTTCTATGTAGAACCCTGGTTTCGCCAGAAACGACGAGTAATTAGGGAAGAACAGAACGAATCCAGCTACGATCACTCCTTCCTCCATCGTCGATGACTTGAAGACTTCCGATTCGGGATCGGAGATCGGGTAATCGAGATTTAGGGTTTTGTGGATGGGTGTGAATTTGGGGTGGTGGGCGATGGAGGAGGAAGGAAACGGTTTTGTGGAAGCTTCGATGAGGAATACGGTGAAGGATTCGAAGGGGTTGTCTTTGGAGAAGAGAGTGGTGGAGAGGGAGGGTTCGGTGGCGGAGCATAGGTCGGTGAGGCGTTCGAATACTGCCATTTGGTAGATCATTTTGTGGATAACCGGGACGTCGAGTCTAGTTGCGAGGCGGATCCTGGTGAAGAGTGGGTGGCTAGTCGGGAGATCCATGTTGAGCTCAGGGGTGGTGATTGGGAGTGGTGGTGGTGCTGCGGCGGCCATTTTTCTCTCAGTTGGTTAACGTCGGCGGTTTTCTACGTTTCTCAAGAATCAGTGGCGTTTGGATAGGGGTCGAGAGTGTATGTGGTCCTATATAACGTCATGGACTCATGGGGAAGATGGTGCCGAGATACAATACAAGGGTAGTTTTGTCTTTTTCTTCTTTTAAACCATTTTAAAAGATATTCATTTAAAAAAGTTAAAACTTCAAAAATTCAAATTTGACATATAATTTTAGCATATAAAATAAAGCAACTTATCAACACTTTTATTTTTACTTTTGTCTGTTCATGTGTACTTTGAGAAACGAATTAAAGTTTTTACTTGTAAATTTATTGGGAAATAACAAATAAAAAGAAATAATAATTATAGGTTTTGCCAGTTTAAGAACGATCATCTCAGTCTCCAATTTGTTGGTTTAAAAAATTATCATGAAAATATATTTAAGTCACCCAACTTTAACATATTTTTCTGAATTAACTGTCATAATAAAAAATCGTATTTTTGTTTTTTTTTTGTTTGCTAAAGACGGTATA